CTTGATCTTTTGGGATACTCATGTAGATGGTCCCCTAAACCTACTAGCCCTAGGGCTATAGTTTAGCTAAGACCACTATGTAGAGGACCCAAAATAAGGTTTCCATTGGTCCATGACTTATTGGTGATGGTTGGTACCTCAACTCTACCAACATATCCATCTTGGCCTTTTACCCCTAAAACACCCCCAAATTACCAAAATACCCCTCCATAGCTCAAAAACCCAAAAATTTCAAAAATTCCCAGAAAATCCTAATAAATCCCAAATATTCCCAATTTCATTTCTCTTAACTACCACATGACCCAATTTGGCCAATTTGACCATCTTTATAAAAAATCAGCAAAATTGCCCTTTAAAGACCAAAATTTCCCCAAACCTCAGGCTAGGCACCCACGCAACATAATTTTAAGAATATGATTGATGCAAATGCATTTTACCTTCCGTGACTCCTTTCCCTATTCATACCTTGTATGTTTTTGCATCCTTTAAATTACAATCATGTAATGGATAATCTTATGTGTTTCTAACACCTTCCATTGCAACTGATGCGCGATCCTCATCTGTGCAGATAGGCATTGCTGGCTATGATTTCCTCTTGCGGGATTTCAAACATTCCTATACATCAAAATCAACATTGGTTTTAGATGATTTCTACTTTATGATTACCAAATCTATTTTATTTTGGCCTAAACCCAAAATTCCCAAATTTAGCCCCAGATTGGCTAAATCCCCAAATGTCACCCAATTGATTGCCTTAACCTCCACATTGGCATCCAATTCATGTTGAAAACTCTTCATGAGGTCCCTATTGACCATCTACATTAATCAAATTGGAGTTATCCCAAGGCTAACCCAAGCTAGACCCAAGCCTAGCCCAACATAACCAAATTGATTAAAGTTTAACATTCCCTCAAATTGACCCTTCCTCAAATTAGTTTAAAATTCCCTCAAATTGACCCTTCAATTGAACTGAAAACCACACCCATCCTTCAACAAAGTTGTTCCTTATGATCATATACACCAAATGAAACAATGAATTGGGCCAATTGACATGGCTAGCCTAACCCAAACCCAAGTTTTGGTCATTTTCACCCACTTGGACCCATGCACTAAATGTGACCTAACCACCCTAAAGCCACCAAATTAACTCCACCACAACCATTAGTTGGACTTAGTGACCAGTCCAAA